GCCAAGTCTGAGCAAAAGAAGAAGGGTGAGGGAAAGTACGAGCTTTGTGCTTGTACAATGGTGTGGAACCAAGCTTTTGCGTTGCGAGAGTGGATTTTGTATCATGCTTGGCTTGGAGTCGAGAGATGGTTCATTTACGATAATAATAGCGATGATGGAATAGAAGAAGTTGTTTGGGAACTTGACCTCGAGGACTACAATGTCACTAGACACGTGTGGCCGTGGATCAAAACTCAAGAAGCCGGTTTTTCACATTGTGCTCTCAGAGCAAAACGTGAATGCAATTGGGTTTCTTTTATGGACGTAGACGAGTACTTCTACTTCCCCTATTCAACGCCACGACACCAAAGATTTAGAGAATTGGGTTATGCAGGACAGAATTCACTTCGTACCTTGGTGTCAAAATTTTCATCATCACCGAACACCATAGGAGAGATCAGGACATCTTGCCACAGTTTTGGACCATCTGGATTGAATTCACCTCCCTCACAGGGCGTTACAGTGGGTTACACTTGTCGTCTTCAGAGTCCCGAGAGGCATAAATCTATAATTCGACCAGATGCACTGGATGCTACACTTCTCAATGTGGTGCACCATTTTCACTTAAGGAAAGGATTTGAGTACCTTAATCTCCCCGAGAGCACAGCCGTACTCAATCACTATAAATACCAAGTATGGGAAGTTTTTCGATCTAAGTTTTACAGACGAGTCGCCACATATGTCGCTGATTGGCAACAAAACCAAAACGAAGGTTCAAGAGACCGAGCACCTGGGTTGGGAACGGAGGCAATTGAACCACCCGATTGGCCACTGAAGTTTTGTGAGGTTTGGGATACTGGATTGAGAGACTTTGTTTTATCGAACTTCGCTGATATTTGGACTGGTTTGCTGCCTTGGGAGCGGTCTCCTTCACGATGACTTAAATCCTGAATTCTTGGCGCTTTATCGCCTTAAAATATAAAGGAAAAAATTACATAAATTGTCAATTCATTTTTTTAATTGTTTCACCGTTTGTTTCTGATTCTTTTGTTCTTCAATATGCAGAAAGACACTTAGATAGAGATTTTTTTACAAAATTGTAATTCAGGATATTTTCTGAAAAATAACTGAGTCATCCTTTAGTTGGAAAGATGTTTTAACATAAATATTGCAATCCTTGATCTATGTATGGTAATGTCTCACAGCCCTACTGAAAGGCAAAGTTCACACAATATTAAACTGAGAAGCAAGTAAATCAGAAACGGCCTAAAGTAAAACACTGCAGAAAATTAAAGATTCAACACAAGATTTCTTTCGGCCTAAGTCCCGGAGGTTCGGCGACCGCTTCAAACGCCTACATCCCCCGTTGAGCATCCAACAAGTTGAATTACGCTCGGTTGCACTATAATAGCCAAAAATTGGCAACAAAGGGTTATAGATGTTCAACAAATACAAGGAGATAAAGCAAAGATACGTATCTTTCAAGATCGACCCAAACACCTTCGAAGAATCACAAAGAATCTTCACTGCTTCCCTCTCAAAACATCACAACTCAAGAGAACACATGATTTTACAGATAATCACTCAGAATATCTAACCAGATCACTAAG